GCTCAGCCCACCAGGGGGCGGGCTGGCTGGCATGTGGTGCTGGGGGATTGAACTGTGGTCCCTGTGCTTTGCTGAACTTGTTCTAAGTAGGTGCTTTAGACCACTGAGCCATCTCTCCAGCCCCGGCAGCTGAGATTATTAACAGCAAGAGTTTATTGCAATCCTTGCAACACGGCTTCCCCTGACACACTCTTGCAGCCTCCCAAGGATTCTGTGTGCGTGTACCATCCTCTCTGAGACACCTAGAAAGGCCTGCATTTCTGACCAAACCCTAACATAAAAGCATGCAGCTGGGTGTGGTGGTGCACACCTGCAATCTCAGCTACTCAGGAGGCTGAGGCAGGATTGCCACATTTCAGGCCAGGCTAAGCAATTTAGTGAGACACTGTCTACAAAAGTAAATGGCTAGGAATGTTGCTCAGCAGTAGTGTGCATGCCTGTCCTGTGGCGGGCCTGGGAACAGCCCAGCATCCTATACAACCTAAGCATAGGCTCCTGCCTGAATAAGGACAGCAGGATGTTGCAGGTGAGGGCACTATTAACACGACAGATCTTCATCTTCTACAGAGCAAGCTCAATAGATTACACTAAGTATGGAAAAATCAAGAAATAACAGGAGCCAGGTGTGGTGGCACACCCCCATAATCCCAGCACTCGGAGCGTGAGGCAGGAGGATCACTGCGTTCAGGAGTTTGTGCCTAGCCTGGGCACAAACCTATTAATCTTAAAAATCATTACACTGCCCATTTTCAGATCTAGCTTTTAATTTAATGCTACTAACTGCTTGAAGCAATCAGCACTTGTCAGAACATCTTTGAAATTCTAAGGACAGATTAAAAGGCTACTACAAAAATAAAAAATAAAAGGCTACTACAAGGCGGCCTAATAACAAAAGGGCTCTTCTCACTACACAGCAGCCCCCAGCTCTGTGAGGGGGGCCTGCGACGAATGCCTCCGAGTCAGAGCACACAGGCACAGGGCAACCGGGGACAAGGAAGCTCCTGGGCTGGCACGCTCCAGTTGGAAGAGCAGCTTCCTCTAATGCCATCTGGGTGTCATCCGGAGGAAGTGCAAGCCTCCATTCAAAGACAATGTACAAAGTACCATGCCATGGGAGGCCACAAGCAAAGCAGGGCCCTCTCTCGTGGCAAAGTCTCTCCCGTCACCCAAACACCAAGTGCCATCAGAAACACAGGTGCTCCTGAGAAATGCAGGACAGAGGTGCACTGTCCTCCCTTGACCCCTAGTGGTAGGCTGCTGGAACAGGGCGAGGGGCTCAGTCACTGCGGAAGAAAGGTACTAACTCAGCAGGACCATGTGGGCTTTGGAGCTGGAGCTGCCACACAAGTCAATGCCCTCGTGACCAAGTGCCTCCATACAACCAGAGTCGCCAGGCGTCCAGATGAAAATGCTTTCGTGCCTGCAGGGTTCAAACTGCCCTTGAGCTAGCACTCCCTTGCAAATCCACCAAGATTTAGCAATCACACCTATAATCCCAGCACTAAGGAGACTGGGACAGGAGTTTGAGGCCAGCCTGGGACACACAGTGAGTTCAAGGACGGCCTGAGGTGCACAGCAAGACCCTGTTTCAGATTGGATGGAAGGAAGATAAGCTGGTAGGTAGGTAGGAAGGTAGGAAAGAAGGGAGGAAGGAGGGAGGGGGGAAGGTAGGCAGGCAGGCAGGCTGGCTCACTGCGGGTACAGATCAACAGCAGAGCGCCTTTCTAGCAGGGTCAGGCTGGGTTTCACTCCTAGCACTGCCAAAAAAATAAAACAGAGAAAAAGCAAAGGCAAGAGTAGCTCTCAAGGGGCTGGTGAGATGGCTCAGTGGTCTAAAGCACCTACTTAGAACAAGCTTAGCAAAGCACAGAGACCCCAGTTCAATCCTCTGGAACCACCCCGCCCCCAGGTAGGCTGAGCTGGCCATACACACACACACACACACACACAAATAAATTAAAAAAAAAGTAGCTCTCAAGCTGCGCCCATGCTGCCTTCTCTGTCCCAAGAGCCCAGGGGTGAGAGCAGGGAGAGCCACAACCTGGACCTGCACAGCCAGAGAAGCAAAGATTTGTCCTGTGATCCTGGATGGGTGAGAAACACACTGGAACCCAGGAGAAAGGCCAAGGCTAGGAAGCACACTGGTGGGTGGCTGCCTCCCTCTCTGGCAGAGCAGCCCTCAGTCTGCTGGGGACCCCCAGGGAGCCCAGGCCACTGGCTCCAGGCCACAGCCCTCAGGACATGGCCAGGAGCCACTGTGGGAAGGAGACCAACAATCACCCCAAAGAAAAGGAGTCCTTTGGCGACAGGACGCATGTGGCCAAAATGCCAGTCACAGCTTCTGGGCCTCAGCAACTGTGCTCTGCTTTGACAGAGGCTGCTCCCCCCAGGAGCCCAGCGCAGCGCCTGCTAAAGCAGAGGAGAAGGCTTCCAAACTGGGGGCAGCAAACTGTGACACAGACAAGATGTCCACCAGAGAGGAGAGGGAAGGGGAAACTGATTCGCCGTTCGTTTTCCACTCAGGATCAGAACAAGCCAAGCAGTGGGAAATGGTGACAGGAAAGGAAAAGTGGAAAAATCACTCCCTTAAAGCAACAGGCTATTGCAACGGCCTGCCTGGGAGCCCTGAGCCTCCACAGAATCTCCAAACCCAGACAGAGCCAGGGAAGGTGGTGCATGGCTCTAATCCTAGTACTCAGGAGGCTGAGGCAGGAGATCCCTGGGCCTTTGAGTTCCAGGGCAGCATGGCTACACAGTAAGACCCTGAAACAAACAAGACAAATGAAGTGGGCTGGGGGTAAAGCACCTGCCTAAAAGAACAGGGGGTCCAATCCCTGCACTAAGAAGAAAAAAACCCAAACAAACAGAACAGTGTAGGCTGAAATAACAGCCTATTGCTGCACAGGGTTTTTTTTTTTTTTTTTCCTGGAACCGGGGATTGAACTCAGGCCCTTGCGCTTGCCAGGCAAGCATTTATTCTACTGAGCTAACTCCCCAGCCTGCACAGGGTTTTGTCCCCAAATAACCACATATACTTTGTAGCCTCCATCCTTTAAGCATATATACTCTGCAGTTCTTCCTAGATTTGGTATCCAGATTGTGGTTTACTCAAAGAGCCTGAACAAACAGCCTACAAGTTTCAGAATCACTTGAGAGCAATTGAAAGCACAGACTGGAAAGCCGGGCTGGGAGCCCAAGGGAGAGAGAACGTCTGGCACCTTTCTCTTCCACAGGCCAAGAGGCTGCCCTCCTTCAAAGGCATCCGAAAACCCCAAGCTCTTGCCTGCGTGTCACCTGTGTGCCAGCACCACCTACGCAATGAGCACCAGGGCTAAATATCACACTGACAGCAAGTCCTGGCCTCTGAAGGCCCACACAGGAAGTGGGAAATGCTGAGATTCAGGAGACGCTCCTAGGCCACACACTGACCTAGGCACTGATGCTGAGAGTGTCCGGCCCAGAGAAAAAGGCGAGCCAGGATTTCACTCCTGATAAACAATTCACAATAGGGGCCGCGGAGACAGCTCAGTAGAATAAGTGCTTGCCTGGCAAGTACAGGATCCTGGGTTCAATCCCCGGTACCGCCAAAAAAAAAAAAGAAAAAAGTGTAACTTTTTTGCTGGGGATATAGCTCAGCGGCATAAGCACCTGCCTGGCCAGCACAAGGTCCTGAGTTCAATCCCTGGTACCGAAAAAAAAAAAAAAAAAATTAACAATAAAGCATCTAAAATCATCCAAAGCATACTAGCTGACAACCCCACCAAATGACAGCAAGCTCACAGACCACAACTGGGCCAACCCAACAAATAAGGTTTGGCTGTCGGGAAAAAAAAAAAATATATATTCAATGAATTCTCAAAGAGTGTACAAAGAAAATTCCAATCTGCCAAGATTTTAAAACTCAGGTGGTTAGAAAACAAAATACGGGGCCAGGGAGATGGCTCAGTAGAATAAGTGCTTCCCTGACAAGCATAAGGGCCTCAGTTCGATTCCTGGTTCCGCCAAAAAAAAAAAAAAAAGAAAACAAAATACTAGAACCAGATGTAGCAGCACACACCTCCCACCTCAGCTACTTGGGAGCTGAGATAAGAGGATCCCAAGTTCCAACCCAACTTGAGCGACTCAGTGAGACTGTCTCAATATAAAAAATTAGGGTTGGGGAAGATAGCTCAATGGTCGAAGCGTCCATCTGGCAAGCTCCAGGAACCAGGTTCGATCCCCAGTACCGCAGGCCGCACAGGCCAGCCCCAAAACTTAGGCATGGAGGCACATGCCTGTAATCCCAGTGCTGTGGAGGCTGAGACAGGCAGATCACTATGAGTCCGAGTTGCCTAAACAGAAAGATTATATATACATATGCTCAGAATGAAGCTCAGCCATGAAGACCTTGGGTTCAACCCTCTGATCTGGAAAAAACATCCAGGACATGAGGGCAGACACCTGTTACATTAGCATTCTGACGTTGAGACAGGAAGATCCAAAGCTCAAACTCAGCCTGGGTAATCCAACAACTTAGTTGAGACCCTGCCGCCAAAGAAAGTCCATTTTAAAAGGCCTGAGATGTAGCTCTGTGCCCCCAAAGGAAGAGGAAGGAAAGGAAAAGCCAGCCAACACACACCGGGCGCTTCCACTTCCTCACCCGAGGTCATCTCTTCCGGATTTCCTCCTAGACCAGCCGCTCGAGCGCTCGGGGGCACGCTAAGCTGTCCGGCTCCACGCACTTCTCTCAGGCGAGATCATCTCTGCTCCCTCAGTCCAACCTCTGACTCGGGTCCGCCTCCCCAAGAACGTCAGCAGGCACCAGCTGCCACCGAAACCGATCCCCAAAATGTCACCCCGGCCTCCCCGCCCTGAGCATCCTGCTCAGGACCTGCTCCCAACAGGTCCTCCCTGCCCGGCTCCCTCCTGCGCAGGTGACCTCACTGCTCGCTCCGCGACACCGCCACCTCCCCGGCCCAGCCCTTCAGGACCCCTGGCTTCCCGTCTCCCCGAAACCTGGCTGCTCCGACCCGGGGGCGACCCCGCTCTCGGCACCAACCCGCGCCCTCCGCTCGCGCAGCCCCCCGCCCCGCCCCCGGCCCCGCCCCCGGCCCCACCGGGCACACAGACACACACA